CCTCGACAATGGCAGAGCGGAACAAGGCCCATTCGGACTCAATGTCCCCCTCTGTCCTCGGGACGCAGTCGAAGCTCTCCTGGAGGTGGGAGTTGAAGATCATCTTGACAGGTTCTTCCACCAGGTGTTCCCAGCAGACCCTCACTGCACGTTTGGGCCTGCCAGGTCTGCGCGGCGTCCTCCCCTGCCACCTGATCCAACTCACCACCAGGTGGTGATCAGTTGACAGCTCTGCTCCTCTCTTCACCCGAGTGTCCAGAACATATGGTCGCAGGTCAGATGATAGGACTACAAAGTTAATCATTGACCTGCGACCTAGGCTGTCCTGGTGCCACGTGCACCAATGGACATCCTTATGCTCGAACATGGTGTTAGTTATGGCCAAACTGCGACCCGCACAGAAGTCCAATAACTGCACACCACTCAGGTTCAGTTCGGGCAGGCCATTCCTCTCATTCACGCTCCTCCAGGTCCTGCTGTCATTGCCCACGTGAGCGTTGAAGTCCCCCAGCAGAACAATGGAGTCCCCAGTCGGGGCACTGTTTAGCACCCGTCCCAGGGACTCCAAAAAGGGCGGGTACTCTGAACTGCTGTTCGGCGCATAAGCGCAGACAACAGTCAGGACCCGTTCCCCGACCCGAAGGCACAGGGACGCAACCCTTTCGTCCACTGGGGTGAGCCCCAACGTACAGGCAGAGAGTCTGGGGGCTATCAGAAAGCCCACCCCGGCCCTCCACCTCTCACCCGGAGCAACTCCAGCAAAGGAGAGAGTCCAACCCCTCTCAACGACTTGGGTTCCAGAGCCGGAACTATGTGTCGAGGTGAAGCCGACTATACCTAGCCGGTAGCGCTCAACCTCTTCCACAAGCTCTGGCTCCTTCCCCGCCAGAGAGGTGACATTCCATGTCCCAAGAGCCAACTTCCGTAGCCGAGGATCGGACCGCCAAGGCCCCCGCCTTGGTCTGCTGCCCAATCCACACTGCACCGAACCCTTCTGGATCCCTCTGCGGGTGGTGGGCCTGCAGGGGGACGAGCCCAAGTAGCCGGTTTGGGCTGGGCCCAGCCGGACCCCATGGGCGAAGGCCCAGCCACCAGGCACTCGCCCATGGGCCCCAGCCCCAGGCCTGGCTCCAGGGCGGGGCCCCGGTAACCCTCCGGGCCAGGTACGCCAACTCTTGTTGTTTTCCATCATGAAGGGTCTTTTGAACCGTTCTTCATCTGACCCTTCACCCAGAACCAATCTGCCATGGGAAACCCTACCAGGGGCGAAATGCCCCCGACAACACAGCTCCTAGGGTCATTAGGGCACTCAAACTCCTCCACCACAATAAGGTGACGGTTCTCGGAGGAGTTGTCATCAATGTGTATGTTTAATTACAGCTGTTATTCTTAATGCTTTTCCTCACTTTTGTTTTATTCTTAATCTTATTGTTCTTTCTCTGTGTTTGTGTGTGTGTTTCTGTTTCAGAAAGCAGTCACTTGACTGCTCACAAGTTGAGAAACTGCAAGAACTGCAGCTATGCATAGCCTGTTTTGATTTTTTTTTATCAACAGTACATTTTAATACAGTTTTATTTAACTTTTACGTACATTTTCATTTAATCTTTCAGAACTGTTTTTTTAACATTTATTTTAGTACAATATTTAATATTTAACTTTTATGTGCAGTACATTTTATTTGATTCATTA